CCCTGCCAAATGGCACCGCTTGGCCGACGGGACCTGAAGGAGGCCCAGCCTGTGGGATCTAACCGGACGAAGGGAACTATGAGGTAGAAGGCGGTCTCGCAAATAGCCTGGCCCTGAGCCATATAGGGCTTTAAAGGTAATGACCAACATCTTGAATTGGACCCGGAGACCAATAGGCAACCAGTGCAGCTCAAGGAGGATAGGTGTAACATGGGTGTACCAAGGAACACCCACTATCACTTGCGCGGCTGCATTCTGGACCAACTGTAGTCTCCGAATACTTTTCAAGGGTAGCCCCATGTAGAGCATGTTGCAGTAGTCCAGACGTGAGGTGACAAGGGCATGAGTGACTGTAAGGAGAGCCTCCCGGTCCAGGTAGGGTCGCAACTGGTGCAACAGACGAACTTGTGCAAAGGTCCTCCCAACCACAGCCGTCAAATGATGTTCCAATTTCAGCTGTGGATCAAGGAAGACACCAAAGTTGCGAGCCCACTCCGAGGGGGGGTATATTTTCCCCTGCTAGAGTCAACACTGGACAGTTAACATGATCCTTGGGGGGCAACATCCAAAGCCACTCGGTCTTGTCAGGATTGAGCCTGAGTCTGTTAACCCCCATCCAGACCCTCACGGCTTCAAGGCAACGACCCATCACATCAGCCGCTTCACTGAGAGAGCTCGGGAAGGAGATATATAACTGGGTATCATCAGCATACTGATGAAACCTCAGCCCGTGCTGTCTAATGATCTCACCCAGCGGCTTCATATAAATGTTAAATAGGAGGGGAGAGAGGACTGACCCCTGTGGCACGCCACATTCAAGGGGCCTCGGGGTTGACCTCTGCCCTCCCACCAATACCAATTGCGACTGGCCAGAGAGGTAAGAGAACCACCATAAAACGGTGCCACCCACTCCCACCCCTTCAAGTCGTCGCAAAAGAATACCATGATCGATGGTATCAAAAGCCGCTGAGAGGTCAAGTAGCACCAAGACAGAGGAATAACCCCTGTCTCGGGCCCGCCAGAGATCATCCATCAGCGCGACCAAAGAAGTTTCTGTGCTGAAGCCGGGCCTGAAGCCAGATTGAAAAGGGTCTAGGTAATCCGCTTCATCCAGAGACCATCGGAGCTGGAGTGCCACCACTCTCTCTACAACCTTCCCCACAAAGGGGAGATTGGAGACTGGACGGAAGTTATTTAAGTCAGCCGGGTCCAGGGTAGGCTTCTTGAGCAGGGGCCTCACAACCGCTTCCTTCAAGGATTGTGGGAAAGACCCCTCCCTCAACGAAGCGTTGATCAACACCTGGAGCCAGCCTCGTGTCACCTCCTTGGCGGCCGAGACCAACCAGGAAGGACACGGGTCCAATAAACAAGTGGAGGTGCTCATCGCTCCCACCGCTCTGTCCACATCCTCAGTGGTCACAGACTCAAATTTATCCCATAAAACTGGGCTAAGACCTGCCCCGGTCATCTCAGAAGGCCCTGCCCAATCGGACTCTAGGTCCGTCCAAATCCGAGCGATTTTGTCTGATAGGAACTGCACAAATTCTTCCGCCCTACCCTGTAAGGGCTCCCCGGCTTCCCAAACGTTAAGTAGGGAACGGGTCACCCTAAATAGGGTGGCGGGGTGAGATTCTGCAGATGCAATAAGTGCGGAAAAATGCGAATATTTTGCCGCTCGTATCGTCACTAAATAAGTCCTAATATAGGCTCCTAAAAGTGTCCGGTCGGATTCGGAGTTACTAGCCCTCCAGCGTCGCTCTAGACGTCTCTTCTGATGCTTCATCTCCCATAGCTCCTCGGTAAACCAAGGTGCCCTCCGGGATCCACAATCACGGAGAGGTCGCAAAGGCGTGATCCGGTCTAACGCCCCTGATGCCGCCTTATTCCAAGCAGCAACCAAGGACTCAGCTGGTTCGCGGAGGAGGGAATCAGAAAATTCCCCAAGCGCTATTTGGAACCCCTCCGGGTCCATTAAACGCCTGGGGCGGAACCACCTAATCGGTTCCGCCTTCCTGCGGTGGGGGAGTAGGACCGAGAAATCTAACTTCAACAGGAAGTGATCCGACCATGACAAGGGAAAAGTAACTATACCCCTTAAATCAAAATCATGTCTCCACTGCCCCGAGAGGAATACCAAGTCGAGCGTGTGTCCTCCCCTATGGGTCGAACCCTGAATTATCTGGGTCAGGTCCATGGTTGTCATGGAAGCCATGAACCCTTGAGCCACACTGGAGGATTCACCGAGTGACAGCAGATTGAAATCCCCCAGCACCATAAGCCTGGGGAATTCCACCGCCAACCCGGCTACCCCCTCCAGCAGCTCGGGCAGGGCTGTTGTCACATAGCTGGGAGGCAGGTATGTCAACAACAAGCCCAACTGAACCCTTGAATCCAACCTCAAGAGAAGAGACTCACACTCAACAACCTCTGGGGCAGGGATCCTGCGAGGTCTCAAGGATTCTCGGACAAGAATCGCCACTCCCCCACCCCTTCCCTGGAGTCGCGGTTGGTGCATTATCTGAAACCTGTCTGGGCACATCTCGGAGAGAGGAACACCTCCCTCTTGGCCCAGCCAGGTCTCAGTAATACATGCCAGGTCAGCCTCCTCATCTAGTATCAAGTCCCGGATGAGGGGAGCTTTATTAATAACTGACCTGGCATTAAGAAGCAGCAACCTGAGGCCAGGGTCCTGAACACCCCCCTCTCCAGGTATTGGAGAAGAGTCCAAGGGACCGGAACAAGTAATCGCTTTAATGCAGCGAGTCCTTGTTCCCCGAAGATGGCCCGCCCCTTGGCTCCCACCATATCTACCTCTCCCTATGATAACCGGGATGTTCCGGCCCACCTCCACCCCCGAAAACTCCCCACCCACCCCGCAGGTCTCCCTCCCACCGTCCCCCCTCCCAGCAGGCCACATCTCACATTCATATCAAGCTGGGAAGTACGCCCCCCCCACTTCTGTTTACACACTCAGCAGAGGGGGCACCAGTTCTCGTTCCCAGCTCCATCACTTACACCTGTACAAACCCTAATACAATAAAACTAAAAAGAAAATTAAAAACAGTCAATCATACAGTCAACATACACTGGCTGAGAGATTCTGGGAGTCGAAGTCCAGAAGTCACAAAGGGCCACATCTGAAGACCCCTATATTCTTTCGGCTATACTCCTCTCCCCTCTGCAGCCGCTGGAGGCCGTCCAGGAACCGCAGGCCTGGGCAGCAGGGAAAGAAATGAGCGCCCGGGACTGCCACAAGGAAGATGGAAGAGCTCATGCGACGCCCTTCGAGATCTACAACTACAAGCTGTTGCCAGCCGCTGCAAGCGGCGTCCACTCCGGCACAGCTCCTGGACAACGCAATGGGCACGGCGAAAGCAGCGGCCCCCCCGGTGGCAGCAGCAACAACGGGATGGCGCCGGCCAGGCCCCCCGTGGTGCGTGGCGGCCCCGCTGGTCTTGCAGGGCCAAGCCGACGAGCATGACCACACGGTGAAGGGGTGTATCCTGCCCGAGGCCATGGGGAGAGACGGGCCTGCTTTTTCTCCTCCTCCTTCTACCCTCGTCTGGTGTATAGAAGGTGTAGTTTTGTATAAGAAGAAAGATAAAATAAATAACATATGCTGGATAAACTAGTACTGTAAACTCCAGCTGTACTTGCAATGTGACAGCAGTTAAATCAGTGGTGCCACATTTCAAAGTTAGTTAGAGCAGCTGCTTTCTTGCAGGTATGTGGAATGGCGTGGGACCCAGAGGTTTTCCAAAGTGAAGAGAGGAAGTTGGTTACAGCTTATTAGGAAAGATAAAATAGACAACCAAGAATGCTTTATTGACTATTCTTCATTCAGATTTTATATCAATTGCATCTGCTAATATAGGTGTTCTGATAGAGTCTTCTGTTTTTAACTTTTTTTCCTTATCGCTTTTTGGAGTTTTCATCCTGCTTTTGTGAGATGGCAGCGCTTGGGAGGGAATGTAGCTGCCCCTTTCCCCCCCCAAGCCATCAGCTGGGCAAGACGCCCGCCTGCCCGCGCTTTTCCCCGTCTGAGGCTTTCGTTGTCATTAGCATTTCTGTTGAGGATTGGCAGGGGGGGGCTGTTTGGTTTTTATTCTCCTCCCATCTGCTGGGTGGTTGCAGCAGGTTTTGGTTTCTTCTGTCGTGCTTTGAGGTTACCAACATTTGTTTTGGGGGCGGGATCCCCACTCCGGTTGCTAAGCTTGCTTAAATCCTTTTCCACCACCTCCTCCTCACTGGAGCCTCCTTTGTCTGCAACCAGCCCCTGCCCCTGCCTCGCCTTGCCCACGGCAATGGCACGCCTGCAGGACAAGCCTCCGGCCCACTGATCCAACCACCAGACCCCCTGGATCTCCAACCCTACCGGGCCCCCACAGACATCCCTCCCCAGGAGCAACATTAAGGTGACCAGGCCCACCCTGGCCACAGCTACCCATGCTGCCCTGACTGTAGTCATGCCCACTCAGTGGACCACACCCACCCAGTGGGCCACGCCCACCTGGCACCTGGAGATACATAAGTGGGTTTTGGGTTACAGTTTGGGCACTCAGTCTCTAAAAAGTTCGTCATCACTGGTATAGAGGCTTGGCAAGAGCAGAGATTCACACTGCGCCATGGTGGCTCAGTGGTTAGAATGCAGTACTGCAGGCTACTTCTGCTGAGTGCCGGCTGCGAGGAGTTCAAGTGTCACCGGCTCAAGATTGACTTAACCTTCCATCCTCCCAAGGTCGGTAAAATGAAGGCCCAGATTGCTGGGGCAATATGCTGACTCTGTAAACCGCTTAGAAGGGGCTATAAAGTGAAGTGGTATACAAGTCTAACTGTTATTGCTATTGCTATTTTCCCCTTACAGACTTTTGGGATTCAACTTTTATTAAAGGGTATTCAGGAAGCCACCCATAATGAAGAGATTAGGAATCAACCCCATGAAAGCAAAAAGATTTTTACCTTGGAGTGTTCCCCAAGATCAAATGTCAGTAAATCACAAATAGATTTAATGTTTTAATAATTAAATTAGTCATTCCATAAAATGCACCCTTGCAAATCATAATAAATAGAAATACATTTTTCCTCCTTTAAAACTTACTATATACATTGCTTGCATCCACAAATTCATTACAGGGAACAAGCCTTCAAAACAAGCCTTGAACACTTTAGCTAAAGATAAAGATTCAGCACACTTTAGAAGTGCGTAAAACGTGGGCCAACCACCAAAATGCCAAGAGGGAAACAACTACTAATGGCTCAGGAGTTATAAGTTCTCCTGAGATAGAAACTAGGAAGAGCACAAAATGGCGAAAACTTTAAAAAAAAAAAAAACAGAGTTAGACTCCTGCACAATTAGACCTTGTAGAGTTCTGGATCCTGCATTTGACAAAGAAATGTGAACAAATATCTTGTCCACCAAGAAGAAAAAAATCCTAGTCATGTTTTCCATTCAAGGCTAGTTTTCTGTCAATCACCATTTAATATATTTACTGTTGGTGCTCTAGAATGATAACCACTATGATAATTCTTGTTAGGAACCTAGTGCAATGCTTCAGAGAATTGCTAAATCCTTCCATATAATAGAAGAGGGAGACAGAATTATACTTCAAAAGGAAAATATCAAACATCATAAGACTGCTGAAATTTTGGGATAGGTGGGAATGGAAGGAGGTCCCAGTCTAGCAGCAAATGTAGGCTTTCTCTCAAAAAGAGCCTAATCTGTTCAACCTGAATGGTACCCAAAAATACATCTAATTTTAGAGACCAATTCAAGGGAAGAAACGCAAGAGGGTGGTACTAGAAAAAGTCAAGCAGAAATGCTGCAGTGCAATGTGATTTCCAAGGAACTGGCACATTTGGAAAAAGCTGGAAATCAGTAGTACAGAGGAGAACTCATACAATATGTATAAATAGAAACAAATAATTCAATGCACATTTTGAGGTAGGGCAAGAGGAACTATCTTTGTTCTGGGGCTTTGGGGGGAAAAAGGACAGTCTCCTCTAGCAGGCAGAGGAGAGTTAGCTTGGTCCAGACCAGAGGGCTCTTTCTGAAATTAAGCTGGGACAAAGAGGTGCTGCTCAAGGATGCACTGGATGTGTGAAAGCCCAAGATGCTCTGCTAGCTCCAGTGGTGTTCGCCCCTTATAGTCCTTATGCTGCAGTTGGGATTGAGGTGCCAGGAAGCAAACCACATCTGTGTGACCTTCTCGAATAGCAACATGGATGGGCAGTGAGCCAGAAGCATCTGGGACATTGACATCTGCACCATGCTCCACCAGGATTTTCAAGGTATCAAGAAAGCCAGTGCGGGCAGCATCATGAGCAGGTGTTGTGCCAGATCCATCTTGAATGTTAGGGTTGGCACCTTGCTTCAGCAGTTCTTCAGCCACAAAGATATTGCCAAACATCATTACCTGCAGGAAGATGAAGGATGAAAGAGAACAAAGCAGGGGATATATAGCCTCAACTCCTCTCAGTAGGTTGGCAGGCAAGCCTTAACCCCATTTGCTGATTATGGGAAATAATAGGGAAGGCTACCTTCCATTGAAGGCTATGTTTGTACAACATACTGAAACATAAACAAATAACTAATTTAGTTTATACATAGTTAATATGATTTAATGGTTTGGGCAAAACTGAATTAATTAAATAAGCAATTATTATATTAATCACTTGCACAGCCATAATAATTACATTCATGGACTCTAGATCGAAAATCACAAAATCCATAATTCTGCCTTTTCCAAGGCCAACCTTGTTATCTGTTATAAAAGGAAATAGACAGGCAGGCAAGATAAAACAGAACAGAATAGTGGAGTTGGTTGGTTGAAGAGCTATACTTCAGCCTAGGCAGATCTTCCAGTAATTATACAAGCAAGACAGGGTGTACCTCTTTTCTCCAAACTAGCTGTAGACAAGCCACCTCATGCCCTTTAAATAACCCTATTTGGCTTGAACCCAACAGGAAGCAGTGCTAGCCTGTTTGGCCTGTGTTTTTGTACTATTTATTTAAAACACAATGATTATGTTTAAATGCTGGGTGAGCTTTCATGCAAAGGTAGAAAAGATGGAAAAGACTATAAAAATATGGAGAGGGTACTGTGGCCATAATCAATTATTGGGCTACAATCTAGAATCAATTTTTGGTTTAGAGAGATGTCCTTGAAACAGCAGCCACTTTTCCTAGAAGTGCCAAACCAATGGTAGTGAACAGAGTTTGGGGAAAACTGCAGAATCAGAGCCTCTTCACCCAGGCCTCCGGTGTCTCTAGTAGACACTGTTTTCTCCCTAGGAAACAGGAACCATGGGATGCCTCACTTACCTGCAGCGCAGTCTTGCCAAAGCGATTATGGGAATCAGGATGCACCAGCTCCAGATGCAGAAGGTGTCGGACCTCAGCTATATCCCCCCGGGCAGCAGCCCCGGTTAGCCGGTCTCCAGCCCGGATCTCGGCATTTCCCAGCTGCATGCCCGCACAAGGCACCTTCAGGGAAAAAGGACAGGCGAAAATGAATGAACTGACGACCAGGCGAACAGGATTCTTGCACTGCCGCAAATAGGCTTCTTTTGCAGCAAGAGGTGTTGGCACCGAAGCTCGCGCAGTTGTACTCTACACCGGCCGGGCTGCCTGCCGGTCCTGCTTGAAAGCGGCTACTATTTCCAGCGTGCGGGAAAAGCATTCTGTAGAGGCGTAGATGCTCCGCATCTCATTTCATTCTTTACGTTTGTTTTGACAACAGGCCGACAGGGGCTAGCTAAATTTTTCCCATCTCCCCGACGGCGGAGGCGGCGGCCTTCCCACGGGCGGGAATCCTGTTCGCTCTTCGGCACTTACCTCGACTCCCGGGAGGTAGGCTCTTCTCCCAGTACTTGTCAAGCAGAGCAGAAGCCAGCGCTTTGCGCCGCGTTGCCTACTCGGCTAAAGGGCTAGTCTCGCTGCTGCCCCTAAAGAGGGGTTGGCCCGGTTAAAGGCAGCCGTCGGGATGTGACAAGACAGATCGATGCAGATGCTGCTAGAATGTCGACCCAGGGAGGTGTTTTGGGGGGCTCGGCTCCCTCGGGGCGGGGCTGTACTGAGAAGGAAAGCCGCTGAGGATAGCCGTGGCAGGCAGCGCCGCCCTTCGCTTGCCCGTCCAAGCGAGGAGCCGGCACAGAAAGTGCCAAGCCCGCCCCACCCATTGAGCTGCAGCCTCGCCAGGGCAACCTCCCTTCCCTTGGCCCCGCCCCCTCTGCCCGGACGCTGTTTGTTGCTTTTTTAATTTTATTCCGCGCTATTAATTTGGATACATTATAACCTGCCTGATTCCCCATTCCACTCCCTCGCCTGATCCGACCAATCATGAGCAGGCTCCGGGCAGGAGCCGGAGTGCTTCGTCTTTGGATTGGTTCACTAGTGGCGGACTGCTGGGCGGGTCTCTTCGATTCAAACAGTATTTCGGGCGGGAAGAAGCTCCTAGTTCGGCTCCAGGCAGGCAACGCAAGCCAGAGGTCGCGACCTGGGAGGGGGCAGGAGGAACGCGAGACGGCTCTCCAAATTATTATCGCCGTGCCCGTGTAAGCGAGCAGCCCATCCCAGCCATGTTGAGCTTGGAAATCAGTGCTTTCGACTATGCTCGACTAAGGTTTCCTTGTAAAATCCGCTTTTCTTGCTCTTGTACACAACAGGAATAATTGTTTTTGAGCAAATGTAACTACATGCATTTTATGTAGTCAGGATTAACTTCAGAAGTGGGAGCGCTTCTCAACTGCAGGAGCTGGACTTACTTTTTTTTAGAAAGCCAAGTCAGGCTTTCTATATATACTCCATCACATACCGGTTTATCTGTCCTTCCATAGAAAGGATTTGGAAGAGCTATAATAAACCCTGCTTTCAATCTTCAGTTATATTATTCAGTTTTGATGAGTTTGCTGCAACTCTAATGTAAACTACCTCAGAATTTGCAAATATCCCTGATTTTTTACAATGCTGCCCATCTACCCCCTTCCCCCCCTGTAACAACAGCCTTTGCCTGTCTTCTTGCTCTGTAGTAAAACTTGTTTATCTGATTTCCATCAGCCCAGGCAATCACATCTGGTAGAGCTCTTCATTTCATTGTAGGTAAATCTCTTTGCTCTAATTCAGGGCTTTTCAACCTTTTCACCCATTGTACCACTTTTATGATATGGCAATATCCAAGTACCACCAGTCGCCTAGCAAGAGGTCAAAAACTTGATGACCAAAAAAAGGAAAAAAGTGATAAAGTACAGATAGTCCTCAACTTACAACACCTTGCTTAGTGACTGTGCAAGTTATAATGGCACTGAAAAAAGTGCCCCCCAAGCCACAGCCGAGCAAGACACCTGCCTTCTCACCTGGCGGCACTCTTTCTCCTGTCTGAGGTTTCCATTGTTGTGAACATTTCTGTTGAGGATTGGCAGCGGGGGTGGGGTGAGGGGGTGTTTGGTTTTTATTCCTCCTGTTTGCTGGGTGGCTGCAGCAGATTTTGGTTACTTCACATGATCCTGGGACACTGTGACCATCATAAATATGAATTAGTTGCCAAGCATCTGAATGTAAATCACAAGACCCTGGAGATGCTGCAACATTCCAGCTGATCGGCGCTTCTTCTGGGCTCAGCAGAAGCACCAGGATCAGTGCCTAGTTCCAGCTGGAGCCTGGCACTGATCCTGGCGCTTCTGAGCCCTGACAGCCCTGCAGCTCCAGCCATCTCGCTCAGACTTATGTGGTGCTGCCATTGGTTCAGCTCATTCCCCTCCCCCACTACCACTTTTCTAGGATGGTCGCGTACCACCTGCCAGGTGCCAATGTACCACAGGTGGTACCCATACCACTGGCTGAAAAGCCCTGCTCTAATTGGTGAATGTGAACTGAGACCAGAATGTCCCTTCTTCTCCTATCCCTAGCCCTGCCCTCTGCATCCATTTCATCCTGGGCTTTTTGCCCCTTTCAAAAAGATCTTCAAATGGCAGACTGCTGAAATCCACTTTTTGTTTTGTTTAAATTTTACAAATTCATCAGTGGACTGGTAATTTTTCATTTTTTAAAATATTTCAAGGTTACTGATGGATCATTAGAATAGTGGATGCTTCTTTAAAAGAAAAATTAGCAAAACTTCTACAGATTTCCTCTTTTTACCCAATGATAGGAAGAAAAAGCTATGGTTCCCTCACTCCTATAGGTCCATCAGAGGACACACCTTAGGGAAGGTGTCAAATACAAAAATTCAAGAGAAGAAGATCATAGTGTGTTTTCCCAAAAATAAGACCTATCCCCAAAATAAGACCTAGTTTGGGGGCGAGGAACACACCTAAAAATCAAGTTAGGGCAGGGGTGGAGCTGCCCCATGCGCCCCTAACTCACTTACCAGGCCTCCCATGAATTGACACCTGCCTCTCCTCGCCAGCCCACTTCTGCGGTGTACCCAGCCTGCATTTTGCTATCACTGGCTTTTCTGGAAAGACCTCTGCAGCTGAGACACAAGCTACGGATTTAATCTATAGCTTGGTTCTCAGCTGCAAAGACCTTCCGGGAAGGCCTCTGATGATGAAATGCAGGCCAGAGCTCCCTTCTCAGCTGCAGAATAAAACTGCTCCTTCAGCCACAGAAGTGGGCTGGCTGGATAGGGCTGTTGGTGCCGCCACCACGAGGTGAGTGGAAAAGACACCCCCCAAAAATAAGTCCTGGTGCCTCTTTTGAAGGCAAAAAAAATAAAAATAAGACCGGGTCTTATTTTCAGGGAAACATGGGATAAAAGTAGAAACTTCAGGTCCTCAAAGACTGATCCATAGAAAGGAAATAACTGATGATTCCTTTTCCATACAAAAGGGAGATAAAGGATCAGATGCATCCACTAATTTAGGGTCTGGAGAGAGTACCTAGTCAATATTAATCTTATTTAATTTTAAAAAAAATTTTAAATCTTTTTCAATTTTAAAATGCTTTTTTCAATGTTTTTATAAATCCTTTTTTAATTTTTTAAAAATTTAAAATTTCTTATTTAAACATTGAAAAAAAATTTACTTTAATTCTTCAGAAATTTTTAAACTCTTAATGATCTAAGAGGAAAAAAATAAAATATCACAGAAAAAAAGACAGAAACTTAAAACAGGGAACCTGATGAATTTTTCAAGACAGAGAACAAAAGGTCAAGAACTGTTGTAAACTGACACTTTGCAACACAGAATATTTAAATTTTAGAAATTTTAAATTTTTTAGCAAACAAAGGAAAAAGTCACGGAGATAGAGACTGACACTATAGCGACTTGCAAAGTGCGCCATATGTTTCAGCTTATGCCCACAGAAGACCCAAACTATGTATGTATCAAATGGACTCTGAATTACTAGAAGAAAAAGTAAAGGGTTTAGAGAGCAGTGGTGTGCTGCCTTTGGCATGCGTGCCAGGGGCAGCACGCTGAGCCCTCTCTTTGGGCACGCATCATTGTCCCAGCATACGTGGTCTCTAAAAGTTCACCATCATTGGCCTAAGGCCTCCCAGCCTGGAGCTGCCGTTGGGGAGGCATCCCTTCCCCCCCCCCGCAGCAGTGCAGCCATGCCTCGCTTACGGGCCAGCAGGGCAAGGCCTTGCAGAGGAGGAGCTCATCCCTCCGTGATAAGCTGCAGCTGTGCTTGGTGGGAAACCTGTAGGAGCCTGACTTCATTGCGCTGGCCATGTGGTTGCGGTTTGCCCCGCTGCGCCTGTTGCTCTGGCAGCGCCCCCAAATGGCCACTGTCCTCCAGTGGGTCTTCCTGGCGCTGGGTGAGGATGGGACGGTGCTGGCAGTGGCAAACTTGGCTGTGTCCCAGCCGCGGGGGAGGTTGCAGGAGAGGCAGCGGTGGCTGGCGGTCATGGCCAGTGTGGGATGGAGGGATTGGTGGACGCAAGCAGCCGATCACCACCCAAAGCCCTGACTCATAGGAATAGATAGAAAATATCCAGCGGCGAGAAAGGAAATCAAAAGAGACGGTGGACAGCACCCTGCAAGCGGAGCATGAAAGGACAAAGAGGCTGGATCCGCAAAGACGCCGGTTTAAGAAAAGGCAGGAGGCAGAGACAATAGTGAGCAAATGATGGGCTCAGGAAGATGCGTGACCTTTACGATAATCGACTCATTTGTTCCTATCAGTACCCCATCACGGCACTGAAACTGCGGAGTGCTCTCCTCCTAAGATCGGCCCCTCCCTGGCACTGTCCTGGCTCCGAGCGCAGCAGCTCGGGCCCGAGAGAGCCAATGATCACTGCCGAAGCCCATTGAAGGGGCAGGGCTGGGACAAGCACATTACTTTGAACTAAGGGGTGAGAATTAGAGTGGGAACTGGCTGCCCGAAGGGGCGGAAGGGGAGGGAGGTGGGAGGCCTGTCCTTGGCACTGCTTGCCTAAAATCGGATTAGGGGGAGTGGAGAATGGCGGGCCTGCAACCAGCTGGTGCCGCTTGTTGCTTTTTCCCGGGTGGGACGTCCTGCTTATGCTCCTCCCTGCTCTGCTGCAGGCTTCCTGATACAAGCCGCGGAAGGCACCGACAGCCTTGTGTACTGCAATCCCTCAAATAGATTGGCACCCTGCAAATGAAAGCTGTAAATTGCAAGATGGGGGGGGCAGGATTCAGCCTGGTGAGAGACATGATGATTAGTACTTGGTTCATCCTCTGGGAAGGATCTTCTCAGGAAGTGCAGTGTGCCTTCTAGTAATAACCATTACTCCAAAGAGCCCTAGGTGGGGTGGGTAGGCAGTTATGGTACCCGGCTTGGCTATTGTCGGCGGTGGCTTGCCTTGCTTCGCGTGGGGCTGCCTTCCCAAACCCTGACTGCTCCAGCCCTGCAGGGTACTGCCACTTCCTCTCAGCTGGGGCTGTCTGCAGGCGGGAGCAGCCGGAGCAATGGGCTCCTGAGCACATTCAGAGTGCCACAGCTGCCACTGCTCGGGGGCTGGCAAGGTGGAGGAGAGGGTCACCCACTTCCTCTCTTGTAGCCCAGTGCTGCCTGAAGCTTTACCTGCTGCTGCTGCTTAGGAACGGCTGGCTGCTGGAGCTTGACTATGCAGCCTGGCTCTACCTGGACTGGGAGACACCATCTTTCAGGGGCCGCCACTCCGCCTGGGCCATCCGGCGATACTTCTGGGACTATTTCCCCATCAACAGTGAACAGAGGAACCGGGAGGCTTTCGCTGCTAGCAGGGGCATTGGGCCTGGCTGGACACCCACTTTCTCTGTTTGGGGGGCACG